TTCGAATGTGTAGACAGTATAATATTTTATGTAGAGACATAGATATATTTCATCAAAACTTGTCATTATATTTAAAAACTATTAAGTCTTCTAAGAACATTGGTCTGCTTCTTTGTTATAAGTAAATTAGTAACTATAACTATAATTTATTACATACATTATTAAAATTGCATGTTGTGCTCGGTTGTTATTGAAATGCAAGTTTAGTAATATATATTAGTCTGTAATAATTTAGTCATGTTAGAATTTGTATTTTGTAACCGTGCCAAATAAATAAATAAATAAATAAGTAAAGAAACGACGCAACGTGCGTTGCGTCTCGGCTCGTTTGATTCGTCATGACGAGTTCTTTGGTGCTAAAGGGTAACCAGGGTCTCTGATGACAGATCTGGCATGTGGCCGTAGGAACTCAGTAATTAAATAACATAACTGCGTCGAGTTTGATTCGTCTTAGTGGGTGGACCGTTTTTGATGGGTGGTGAGATGTGGTGGTTTGGTGGACATGAGTATGCGAGACCGTCTTTGGGAAATAAAGATTGTTCTTTCCGTTTCTTATGAATGTGGATTCTGTCTTTGATTAGATGGATTAGAAGCGCTGAATATTATGAATGAATAAATTAATGAATGACTGAATATATATTTATGAACATTTTTAATGTGGTCGATGTAATTTTATTTTGTGTACGGCTATTTTAGGAGTTTTCATTTGGGTTGATTATATATTATTATCAACCCGTGTCCCTTTAGTCTCGTCTCAGGCTACTTGTCATTGAAGTAGAGCCAGCGTGCGGAGTAGAGGAATAAAGAATATTATAACCAACATGACTATATAAAATCTGTTAACGAAGAAATAAATAAAAGAAATTCCAAAAATAAGTAAACCTACCAATAGCTACTTAAAAAAATACTATACAGGGTGGCTTTCCTAAGTGTATCCATTTTTTTTATTAAATTTTAAACATAAATAAAGTTATATAAAAATGATAAATATTTAAAATCACTCATAATTAATTAATTACATTCGTTTGAACTTATCTCAGAAAGTGCGTGATTTATGGGCAACTCATTTATTTTACGCGCGATCATTCATAACTAACACGCACACAATTTCGTTTCAAAAGTAGACGCATTTATGAATGACTACCGCATTGTCAAGAAGTTTGTTGTTGTTTTTAGGAAATAGAATACCAATTTTTAAAAAAAAAAGTTGTTGTTTTTATTTCTATAAACGATTATATTACCGAGCCTGAACCTCCGGTGTGAATTTGGGCACCTTTATAAAAGCCAACCTGTATAGTATATGATAATAAAAATCAACGCTATGTATGAGCAGAACAGAATTTTGCAAATCCGTCTATATATGACGAAGGTATGCCCGAACATACCCACATAAAAAAAATATAAACTTCCGAATTGTCTCCTCCTTCTTTTTGAAGTCTGTTAAAAATAAGTACCTACTTTTTACTTCTATCTGTGATTATAAAATCCCCCCCCCCCCCCGCCCCCCTGGCACCAAAGCTGGCTCCGCCCTTGCTGTGGTCCTCGCCATCTCGGAGACATGGTTAAAACCGGGGTCTGTTTTCAGGCTGTCGGGGTATTCATGTTTTCGTGATGACAGAGATGACGGAAAAGCAGGCCCTTCTTGTGTCCAGATCCATCTGCTTCACCCAGATCCTTATCCTTCCCCATAGTTGTAATTTGCACATAGTGGCGATTAAAACTAAAAATATTACATTCATATCATGCTACATCCCTCATCCTTATAGTTCCGTGATTTCTGAACTAAACATCATTCTCTCTTCTATTCCTGGTCCCTCATAGTTTCTGGCGACTTTAACTGTCACCACCCTATGTGGGGCTCAAACCTCTTTCTTCCTTGACCTGTTAGATGATAACAATTTGTGCATTCTTAATGATGGGTCTGCAACTCGAAGGACTCCTCCTGGTCAAAATGTGAATGCTCCTGATTTAACTCTTTCTTCCCCCTCTCTAATAAATACTATCTCTTGGACAGTACTTCATAACTCATATGGCAGTGATCATTTTCCTATATTAATAAGACTCCTACAATTTTCACCTCCGACTCGTGATTCCACCTTTGCAACGTTTTAGACTCTCAGACGCTGACTGGGATAAGTATTCTGAAACTTTAGACTCCAAAATTAGTCTCCTTCCTCCTGCCAATCCTGATAACTTCCTATCTTTATACAATGAATATGTCATGGTGGGATTCGGAGTGTTCTACTTCCGTTCGACTTAGAAATCAAGCTGAGAAGACTTATGCGGAAGATTTGAGTATGGAGAACTTTCTTTTCTTTCGCAAGGTCTGTGCCAAAACAAAAAAAATTTTGGCAAGAAAGAAGTCTCAGGGGTGGCTTAGATTTTGCGAATCGTTATCCCCCCGTTCCTCTATGACTGTAGTATGGCGCAAAATTTCACATTTTCGTGGTGTTTTCGCTGACCAAAACATCTGTCCCAGTGATTCTTCCGTTTGGCTAAACGATTTTATCGAAAAGTCTTATATCAGTTGATAGTCTTGGCATCCTATCAACTGATATAAGACTTGCATTTTCTTGTAATAAGCATGTTATTAAGTATTGGAAGCTGAACATATATATTATATGTTCAGCTTCCAATACTTAGGCAGAAAATGCTCACACTGAATATCCCTATGAGGCTGATTAACATTATCTTTAATTTACTTACGTGTCGTTCTATCCGTGCCCGCTATCAGGGCTCTCTTCTTTCTTCCCGTCTCGTTTGGAAGGGTCTCCCTCAAGGCTCAGTCCTAAGTCCCCTCCTATACAATCTCTATACTGCTGATCTTGACTTATCTGTCTATAGCTTCTGCAAAATCCTTCAATGTGCAGATGATATAGCCTTGTATACAACTTGCTCCTCCCTGTTTAATGGATGTTCTCAAGTAACTACCGCCTTAGGTTATCTAAATGATTGGCTCCAAGATCACGGTCTAAGTCTGTCTATTCCTAAATCCTATGCAGTTATTGTTAGTCGAAAACGGAATATTCCCCTCTTGCATTTATCTGTAGATGGTGAACCAATTTTATTTAAGAGCCAGGCAAAGTTTTTGGGAGTCATCCTTGATTCCAACATGACTGGTATTCCTCATTTACAGTATATATATTCTAAGTGTGAGAAAAACACCAATGTCCTTAGAGCCTTATCGGTAGTTCGTTGGGGCTCTCATCCTTTCGTTCAAAAAATTCTCTACAATGCAATTATTCGTAGCCACTTTGATTACGGCTGTTTCATTTTGGAGCCTTGCAGTAAGCTGGCTCTTGGTAAACTTGACAAAATCCAGTCTAAGTGCCTGCGTATAATTACTGGGGCTATGAAATCTTCTGCTATTAATGCCCTCCAAGTGGAGTGCGTGCAACCTCCTTTAAACATCCGTAGACAGTTTCTTGCTGATAGATTTTTCTCCAAAGCTGTTCAGTTCCCCTCTCATCCCATTTTAAAACCCTTAAGTCTCCATTCTCGCTCCATTAACTCGTCGCCTTATTGGTCAAACAAATCCCATCCTCTATTAGTAAATAGTTATAATAATAGATATAATTCCTCTCATTTCTCTGTTCTCTGCTTAGAAAACCACCCTCTTTTTACAATTAGTTATGATGCTTTAATTTTTAATCCTAATATTATTTTAAACTTTGGCATCGACAAGAATACCTTAGATGCTAACCGGAAATTTAACATGCTTGTGAGGAATAAATGGGCGAACTGGGTTCTGATATTCACAGATGCATCAAAAACAGACTCGTCCCTTATTGGTGCGTCCGTTCATATACCAACGTACAGTGTAGTTTTGGGTTTTAAATGTCCTTCAGAATGTTCAATTTTTACAGGTGAATCATTAGCCATTTTAGAAGCAGTTAAGTATATAGATTTTGATCCTCAGTGGCTCCCGTAGTTGTCTGGAGGATTTAAAGAAAATTTCCTTCCACTGTAAACGCCACTCCTCAATTATTCTTAATATAAAAGAAACATTATTTAAGTTACAAAGAGAGGGTATTGAAACTGTCCTAGCCTGGATTCCAGGCCACGTGGGTATTCTGGGTAATGAAGCGGCTGATTATTATGATAGACAAGCTATTTCGATAGGCGATCCATGTCACTCTAACATCCCAACTCGCGATCTGTGCTCTATGGCCAAACCTCAATTAATGGAAACTTGGGATAATTTGTGGCAACAAACCAAAACTGTGAAAGGGAGATTCTATGCCAGTATCCAGCCTAATATCCCATCAAAGCCTTGGTTTTTCAAATACAAATCTTTTAGTAAATTAATTACTTCTGTTATAATTCGCTTGCGACTAGGACATGTTTGCTCCCCAGTGTTTCTAGCTAAACTGCGCATACTGGACCACTCTCTTTGTCAGTGCGGCTTAGCAGAGGGAACTCTGGAACACATGTTTTTTTCATGTCCAAATCTTAACGTCCCCCTATATGATATACTTCCCTCAAAGTTCCCCAGACCTGTTAATATCCCATTCCTTCTAACCCTTAATGACTTCCACATTGTCAAAGTACTACATAAATTCCTTTGTATTAATAATATAAAGCTTTAACATTTCCATTTCTCCTCCTTGTAATTGTTTGTGTTGCATTTATCATTTTAGTCATCCTTACTTATTTTTATTCATCTTCTAACAAAATGTTTAGTTTCTATTCAGGTATCTCAACCAATAAAGTATGATGTTCTAAATACCGTACAAAAGTCATCACTTTATGAAATTTTATCAATAACAGTTTGTTTTATTCAACCTTGACATTGGCAGAATCATATCTGAATGTTGTCAAATGACAATTGTTGTCAAATGTTGTCAAATGTTGTCAATTGTCCTGCTCATGCGTGTTGGGTTGCGTACTATTTGCCATTCTTGTTATTGTTTCACCTCTTGGAAATTTATACAGTAAACATGAAATTTTAATAAATAATAATAAGTGCTGGAAATTGTTTATAATTGTTCGATATCATTATGGCGCTACCACAGAAAAAATTTTATCGACAACGGGCGCATTCTAACCCTATTGCAGATCATTGTTTTGAATAGTAAGAACGCTGAACAAATTATTGTCGCTCTCAAGTTTAAATATTATAAACATATATTTGTTGCAGTCCAGCTCATCCGGATGATTATGACTGGTCAGAACTGTATCCTGTGGTTAAAAATCAAGAATGGAAAGACAAATGTGTAGATTTTTTAGATGTGGGTTGTGGATATGGTGGTCTATTAGGTTAGTTTTCTTATAAATAACTGATCGAATACTATATTATACCGCACCTTTAGAATCATAGTGACCTTTTTAAAAAACATCAATTTTTGGTTAAAGTAAAATAAAGATTTTTGCACTATGAAAAAACACAGTAAAAAACTCACTTATGAATTTATCAACAAGCAGAATTTGGCGGTCGCTTATACTACTATAGAAAAAAAACTAACATCTTAAGGCGGGAGCTAAGTCGGTATGTCGAAGAAAAGTGTGATTTTTAATATAGAAATCCGCCATTTTTTGTTGTCAATTCAGCTTATTCTTGGTGGTCATAAAAAAAAAAACCTAACATCGAAGCTTTTTATGCCAAATTCTGCCCTTTTTTCCATAAGAGTTGAAAAATTTAGTTGTTTTAGGTTGTTTCCTGACAAAGTCAAAATCATGATTTTCATAATAAGATCCCTTTAATTTTAAAGGTGTTTACGAGAGTGTAACAGTCACGTCATTAAATATTTTTTTATTGTTTTTGAGTATTTGTTGTTGTAGTGGCAACAGAAATACATCTGTGAAAATTTCAACAGTCTAACTATTATGGTTCATGAGATACAGCCTGGTTACAGATGGACAGACAGTTAGGGTTCAGAACCCAAAAAATGAGTTTCATTTCTATAAGTTTTTATAATGGTAATGCGATTTTAGACCTAAAAATTATTGTAATTTTAAAATGTATTAAATATTATTTTACTTTCAGTGACATTATCCCCTTTATTTCCTAATAATTTAATACTGGGATTAGAGATACGAGTTAAAGTATCTGATTATGTGAATGATAGAATTCAAGCACTAAGAATTCAACATCCAGAAAAATATCAGAATATAGCGGTCTTGAGAACAAATGCTATGAAATATTTGCCAAATTTTTTTTACAAAGGACAGGTAATTATTTATATAATAAGTCATGCTAAAAAAATTTACTCTCTTAGTTGTCTAATCAGCAGTACAATAAAGAAATAAGTGTACATGAACTAGGGCCTCGGTGGTAGGACTATTAATAGTTAAAATCCATGTGTTTTTTCACTAAATATACGTTTTTTATAAATATAAATCAAAATGTCCATTAGATAATAAGATTTACTACAATGGCTTGGCAAGTATTTTAATAACTAATTTACATAGTACAACATATTTTAATTTTCAGTTGAAAAAAATGTTCTTTTTATATCCGGATCCACATTTTAAGAAAGCTAAGCATAAATGGAGAATAATAAATAAATGGCTACTTTCCGAATATGCTTATGTTCTTGCTGAGGAGGTATGTGTAAAAAAAAGTATAAGTTAAGCCCAAATTTATAGTGAAACCTTACACCATACTTGTTATAACATTGTTCCACACCTTACAGTATTGTGGTATTTCACTTGCACAAGTTTCACAGTATCCAATTAAAAATCTTTTCTGGTTTAAGTTATCTACTTGGCATTAGGACAATGTTGTATAGGATATACAACATATGGTGATATACTGATGGAGCCATAAAACTAAAATTGGAATTGGAACATAATATGCTGATAAAATAAAGATATGGTGTAACAAAACTTATGTTGAATGAGAGAAAATACCCAGCATGATTGACACATTTGTAAATGAGTTTCCCATAAATCACGCACTTTCTGAGATAAGTTAAAATGAATGTAATTAATTAATTATGAGTGATTTAATAACATTTGTCTAGAATTTAATAAAAAAAATTGATACACTTAGAAAAGCCTCCCTGTATAAAAATTTATTGCTGTTTGTTAGCCTCGCTAAAACTCGAGAATGGCTGTACTGATTTGCCTAATTTTGGTTTTAAATATTTGTGGCAGTCCAGGGAAGGTTTAAACGATAAGAAATTATGGAAAAATTGCACAGAAAATCGAAATAGCAACAATTTTATTATCCCATACAAACTATCCGTTAACTATGTCTGTGTAACCTGTCAAACACTTTGTGCGTTCCCATTCCTCTAGAAATAATTCATATGGCAAAACAACGTTTGGCTAGTCAGCTAGTACATAATAAATAAACATGCTAATGAATTAAAATTCTATTAAAAAAATATTACTTATGATATTGCTTTTTCAGGGTATTGTCTATACTATAACAGATGTGAAAGATCTTCATGAGTGGATGGTAAACCATTTTGTTGACCATCCATTATTTGAGAAGATACCTGATGCAGAATTGGTAGGTATTTATCTCCAAGGGAAATGTTTCGAAACTACAGATGTCGCCTTTACTATTGAAGTTTATGATTCATTTTATTTATTGCATTTGAGCATTACCTGTCGCCCTCTTCCATCAGTTTATTGAACGGATAGCTCAACGGTGTAGGTGGTCACCTCTCCACTGTCATTGCGCGCCGTGTTGAGGGTACTATCCATGCATAGGTCAGAAAATTAAATGATCTATTAATAGTTGTTCGAAGTCTAGTAAAGGCGTTTTTTTTTTATATATATGAGAAGGTAGTAAGCGAGCCGGTGGTTCACCTCATACTTCATTGCCACCTTTTTAATAAAGGAGGCCCCGGTTACCTAACTCACTAGACCAGGGGTGAGCAACCTTTTTAATCAGTGGGTATAATAATTTACATAATAATTTACGAAACTTAATTTATAATAAATATTAGAATAAAAAAATATAAAATTAAAAAAAGTAAAGATTTCATATACAAATTTTAATGCAAGGTAAAAACAAACAAGAAAAGCACAGAAAAACGAACAAAAAATATTTCGGTTCAGTATGAACTACCATTTTATTATAATTAATTTTATAACACTATATTGATGGGAGAAATTCGATAAAATAAATTCAATTTTAGAAATGCTTGGCGGGCCGCATAAACATGTTTAAGGGGCCGCAAGCGGCCCGCAGGCCGCGCGTTGCTCATCCTTGCACTAGACGAAACATAAAAGTATAACACTTCATATCGGACTCCTGCGAGGTCTTTGTACGTTCTCGGACGTAACCTAAGGTATATTTATATATCCATTATATCATTATGGATTTCCTGTTTGTGAAACCTATTTTTACAATATTGTGAAAAGTAGGCGCTTTACCCGATGTTAAGTGATTACCGTCGCCTATGGGCATCTACAACATCCGTAGGTGTTTTAAGATGCCCATGGGCGGTGCTGTTGCTTTTTGTAATCATTTGTACAAATATTGCGAAAAATATACACGTCCGTTTTACGCCGCTTACAATTTGGCGATAATTTTCCATTTTGATTTACATTTCAGAAATCTGATATAATCGTTGACAAGCTATATGAAAGTACAGAGGAAGGGCAAAAAGTGACTAGAAATAATGGTGCAAAATATGTTGCAGTTTTCAAGAGAATTTCTGATGGCTGCAAAAACGATTAAAATTAATCATTAAAAGATAATTTTGGCAACACATGTTTATTTTATTACACTATATTTTCAAACTCATTTAAAATATTTGCATAACAATAAAAGTACTAAGTAGTCTGAAATTACTCGGAACACATTTTCATATTTATATAATTTATCTGGTCACAAGTTCAGCCAAATCCTAATTTAAATTATATTAGTTGTAATACTGGCCAGAAACATTTGAACTGAATTTGAATATAGAGCTTTTGTGCAATCTTAGAATTATTTTTAAAGTGATAGTTTGGAGTCTCGTTTTGAAGCATAGCTGGCGTTTTTCAGAAAAATAACACTTGTACATCAAAATCTCTAACATACAATTTTCAAAAACAGAGTATGGAAACATATTTAGCGTCAGTATCCGGTAGCCGGCCTCCAAAACTGGCCTATATATTGAATCGATATCATCAAGTACGACGATTGGGTGTCGCTCCTCGCAACCTAAAGCCGTTTAGATTATGAAGTAAGCCGTAGTAGACTAGTATATTTAGAGTAAGCTTACGCTATAAACCGAAACATACTTTGGCACCTATGCATCTTAAGATAAAACAGTGGCTGATAGGTAAGAACATTGTGACGTGCTGCGGTCCAGAATAATTTGAAAAAACTTTATAAAGTACATTTAAACACTTCTTTAAAAACAATAAAAGCCTCCAATTTATTTAATGAAAAATTTACAGAGCTAATGACCAAGTATATTTTCAAAATTTCATTTTACTGAGCAATAATTCATTCATAATAACTGCATAAAGTGTAAAAAACCGGTCAAAAGCGAGTCGAACTCGACGCCGAAGTTTTCGTACCAACCCATTATACCGCCATAATAAAATGTAATCACCATCGATTTTCTCAGGAATGGAATGACCAAGCAAGTTGAAAATGATAGTGAGAAAGTGTGGTCTATAGTCCCTACTAGGTGTATAAAAATCAAGGTCATGTGTCAAAAAGATAAAAATGTATAGGCCAATTTAAATTTTCGCGAAAACTTGCTAAATTTCGTGATTTTAGGTCAAAACCTATAGGGTACTTCCGGTTGCCCTAGAATTGTGAACTTTTCTGGACCACCCCAAGGTTGACTGGGAGATAATTATGATGGCATTAAGCCCGCCTTTGTACATAAATGTTTGTGCAGAAAGTTTAAATAAATAAAGTTGTATAGGGAAATTCGGAATAATAAAAAAGTTGAAAATTATGGTAAATTTTGATACTTAAGTTTTCGCGAAAATCTTTTGCCCTTTTCCCCCCACAAATAGGGGGTATTTATACATCTAGTAGGAACTATAGACCTCAGTATCTGGTATAAATTTCAATTTGCTAGTTCCACCCGTAACTGAGAAAATCGGTATTGACACACGGACAGAAAGACGGACATGAGAGTGATCTTATAAGGGTTTCTTTTTTACCTTTTAAGGTACGGAACTCTGAAAACTATAATTGTTTAATAATTTTTTTCTCTAATAAGGTGATCCAACGGCTAAGAGGTCTTGTGATCTCTAAATGCTTTCGTATGTTCATAATGGCACCTAAGATCCAACTTTTCCGATCTAGCCATATTTTACAGTTTAATACACATAGCAAAATAGCAGCCCACACATCAGTCTGACAAGGGTACATATGAAGACCTACTTTTGCAAGGGACAGAGCTTTCGCATGATCACCAGCAATGTGTTCAGATATGCTAGCAGTTGCCAGTATTTTCGGAGAGTTGCACTTCTGTCTATTGTAGTGAGCTGAAATTATTGCCCGTTGTGCGCAACCACTAGCTATCTTCGGCTTACTATTTGATGCTTTTAAACAATACTGGGCCATACAGAACCATAAATTGGCATTACTGGGATGGTCATGAAGTGAATCACTTAATAATTTTATTCCTTGTTCCATATCATCATAGCAGGCAAGATAAGATTTTAAGAAACCAATGTCATAGCCATAATCTGGGTCATTTTCATATTTTTGCAATTCGCTAAGAGCTAATTTTGATAAACTTTGATCCGAATGGATAATTCCCAATGAGCATATTGCAAATAAACTGTATGCTGTTGGTTTCTTTTGTGATACTTGAATACTGTGAAATAGTAACGTTTTGGCATCATCTGCGCCTTTATACATATAGACTATACCAGCCATAGCCACAAGAAGATCTGCTTTTTCATTATCATCATTACAAAGCCAGTGTAAAGCTGTGTCATAAGCTGAATATGCCTCTTCATACAGACCTTTTTTTAAAAGGGCTAGTGCTAAACCACATGTTGAATCTAAGCTTGCTTCTGTGATTGCTTTGTATGTTTTAATAGCTTCTTCATATTTACCAATTCTTACTTGAATACGACCTATATTCAAAAGAGCTATGTTCTTTTTATCTTCCTCTGCATACTCATAGGCTGCATAGTAACATTTTTCTGCAGTTTGTAAAAGTCCATTTCGTTCTTGTAATATTCCAATTATTGTGCAAGCACAAGCATTATTAGGCTCAAAATTGGAAAACCATTCTATCAGATCTATAGCATATGTTACTGCATGAAGCCCTTCTATTACATATTTTCGTTCAGAATTGCCTTCAGAATCAGTATTACTCAATGTACGGCAGACCCAGTCAGCATAACCAAGGGCACTTTCAGGGTGATAGCCAAGTCGAGAAGCGTGTCGGAAAAGATCCATTGCCTCTTCTTCTCGGATTTTCTCTGCTATTAACCCTTGACCAATCCAACTTTGTGGATATGATGGCAATGTCGATTGTCCTCGCCAAAAACAGTAGTTAGCTAGTTTATCAAGACTTAGTTTTACATATAAGGTTCCAAGATTGCACCATATTTTTGCAACTGACCATTTACGAGTTAGTAATAAAGCTTTAATAAAACAATGCTGTGCTATGTCATATTTTTTTAAAAATAAGCATATCTTACCTAACAGATTCCAGTTGCGCCATAAGTTGGGTTTTAACTTAATGCAAGCCACAGCCAAATTAAAAGATATTTGGCACATAACCAGGTCATTCGTCTCATGGTAATAAGAAAGATATGCAGAAGCTAAGTCAAAAGAAGTTACTTGCTTTTTGTCTTTTGCAATTCGTGAAAAACATGCTAAGATTTGTGGAAAAATTTCATGTCTCTCTTTCTTAACAATTTCTTCCTCATAATCGTTCTGAGTATTCTTCATATACACAAATGAATACTTTTTAGGAAGTTTGGTAAGAAACATAAGAGATTCTGCTAAAAGGTTCCAAAAACATGAAAATTTTTTTTCCAGTAATAGGGCTTTTGTTAAATAATTTACAGCATATTGAACAGTATCCCTAGCACTACCATACAACTTTGCATTAAATTTTTTTTTTGCTATTCTCATCCAAGTTTCTGCAATTCCTTTTAGAGCTAATAAAGAAGTGGGATCGATTTTTAATACTTCTTCAAATGTTGAAATTGCATCTTCATATTGAGTTAATAAAGAATAAATGTATCCAATTCTAGCTAGGCAATGGGAGCTTGTTTTTTGCTTAAGAGATATAACTTTATTGTAAGCTTTTAATGCAGATGTATAAGATCCACGCAAATAATATGCATCAGCTAAACACTCGAATGCATTAATATTGTAATTATTAATCCTTATTACATTTCTAAAATTGATAATAGCATTATCCCATTCTCTTCTGTTCAAATAATGTAGCCCTAATCTAAAATCTATCCACTCATTCATTTTTATTGAGGACTTTGCATTATTTAGTAATTGAAAATCATTCTCTTTTAGGTGCATTTTGGAATATACTTCGCTTAAATGCTTGACAATATTAAAATCTGTATTGTTGATACTGTAAGCTTTTTCGAAACATTTCTTAGACTTGTTTAGATCATCTTTATGGTAATAGTAATAATAACCTAAATATAGAAATGTGCCAGCATTTTCTGAATTAATTTTGGCTGCTTTAAGCAAATTTATAAGGCACTGATCATATTGCTTAAGTTCCCAAAATGCCATGCCCATATATAACAAATTCAGTGCTTTTGATTCTTCATTTTGCAATAGGGCAATCACTTCTATATATTTCTTTTGTTTAAGTAAGAGTAAAGCTTGAAGTTCTGTGTAGAATTCAGTTGTTTTCAATTCTTCCAGTATATGATCTGCAGATTCATTGTTTTCAATTAAACATTTTACCAAATTTGATTTCTCAATAGTATTTAAACTTTCAATGGGTATATCTTTAATAGTGTTAATTGCTTGTTTCCATTTCTTTTGTTCAAACAAGGACAAAAACAGTATTTTTTTAAGATTATTAGCAAAGTCCAAATTTTTAGCTTTAATTAAAAAGTTTGCTGCAAGTTTCTGTGTAACAGACCATTTTTTTAACATTATTGTACAATTTATAATAAAAATAGCTTCAGTGACAATTGCTTCTTGAAAATTTATTAAAGGCACACACTGTTTATATGCTTCAAAATATGATCCTTTACTAAAGGAAATCATGCTTCTTAACAAACCAGGGTATTTGGAATTCTCAATACCTATTGTTATCCTTTCGATATACGATTCAATTTCGAAATCGAAAAATGAATTTGCTTCTACAAATTTATCACACAAGTGTTTGCAAAGTAATTCACGTAAAATAGCATTTTTAGAAAAGAATGGAAGCTCCATAACTTCAATTATTGACATTTTAAGATCCTGTTTTTGTATTATTAATTTCCCCATAAGTATTTCTAATGATCCATTGGGTTCTTTATCATATATGTTCTGAAGAACATTTAAAACTATAGGTATCTCTTTTTCTTCACATTGGACATTCATTGTCAATAGTTCAACAAGATTTAATTTTGCTGTTTCATATAATTTCCCTTCACGATTATTTTTCATGTACAAAGTAAGTGTTGTAATAGCACTGCTACTTTTGAGAGATATTCCAAGCTGTCCTAATTTTGTTAAGCATTCTAAAGCCTTTTCCTCATCAATTTGTAGTTTTAATATTTCATCGTATACAGAAA